GCAGGGCAGAGGGGCTGAAAGGTGTTGGGCAGGAGGGTGAGACCTTCGCCCAGGACGTTAAGAAAATTAGTGCCTACAAAAGTGTCATCTCTGAATTTCCTCCGCATGCATTCGAATTGTGAACGGTTTGCTCGTCCACCTGGGACCACCAAGTTCAGCCAGTCCTTTCACGTGTTGATCCATTAGCTCAAGGTCTGAGGTCTGGCTCCAATTTCTCCACCCCCCCCCCCCCACATTCCTTTAGAGTAGCTGCTATTTGCCAACCTTACCATCTTGCTGTTGGCCAACATTAGCAGTCTCTTCAGAGTTGTAGAACTTTCAAGGGCTTTCCAAACGGTTCATGTTGTGCTCAGAGCAATCTAGTAAAGTAGGCCTGGTCATTCTACAGATGAGCTCTCTGAGGTCCTGAGAAGTGACACGAGGTGGCATGCTCAAGGTCAGACATTTGGCAAGTACAGTAACTTGAATCCAAATCTCTCTCGGCTCCTAAATTTAGAGAGGGTTTTTTCTTACAAAGTGTTCTCTCTAAGAGTGTGTGTTCTGAATAATGTTTATATTCAATAAAAGGAAATGGATCAACATTCCAATTCTAGCCCCTCTATTTTCAAACAAACTTGAGAAAGGTGCTGAGCCACCTGTTTCAATTATTCATTAATTGATAGGGATAATTATATCTGCTTTGGGATTTGACATGCAGTTGTGCATAGGAGTTGTGTAGGAAACTCAAAGGAGGGAGGTAAAGATTGTGTCATGGGAAGGGATGAGGGACATGAGTGCACTGAAGTGCAGATGTGGGGTCTAGTGGAGCCGCCTCTGCTTACTGTCAGCCTGTTTTTTCCTGATCTATTATTTTTCAACAAAACTAAAATCTGGATTCAAACCTTTGGTTAGTGAGCAGATCAACCACTCTGTAGGGAAAGTGGTGCCTGTAGGACATTTCTTTGGAATTCTAGATCTAGCTCATGGTCTTCTTGTGATAATTAGATGAGACAGCTTTCTTATATGCCTCACACAGGATAAGTGCTTAATAACCCAGCCTTTTCTCCCTACTCCTCCATATAATATGCCTTCACTTTTGGTTACCTGCTTCTTTTTTTTTTTTTTTTTTCATTATCCCCACAGCATAATACAAATCTCTATAGTGTTTAGAAGTTATATGTCCTTTCGCTGGTTGGGCACATCAATGGGTAGTATGCATATATGCAGGTGTGCTTGGTGTCCCTGATATTGACTATGATTAGACTATGATTGTTGACTATGATTCACTTGTCTCTGCTCACCCTTCTCCCCACCAATATGATGAAATCACATGCTGATATAGAGACTGATCAAGATAGAGAGTTGAGCAGGACAGAAGGTCATACTTTCCATCATCGTGAGATCAGACAAAAAGTGGGAAGTGGGATCTGTCTGAATCCTGGGCTAGGAGCCCAAGTGAAGAATTAGAGGAACTTTAGGCAGGCATTAGAAGTCAAGGACATATTTTCAGTTCCCTGTGTGAACCCTAGACTCCTAGACAGGATGTCTGGGAGAATAGAGAAGACAGACCCTGAGAGCTACCTGGTCTGTTGTGTTCCCTTTCCTCAAGAATCTTGAAGGTGGATGAGAAGGACAGGACATAAATGTACACGTAAGAGAAACATTAAATACTTGCAAATAAAAACATTTGTTAAGTCTTATGTACCAGGTACTGTGTTCAGTATTTTATCCTATTAACCCATTTAATCATCACCCCTCTTCTATAGATCAGTTCTATTTTTTTTAATGGAAAAACTCATCTATTGAGTAATTTGCCCCAAATCACAGAACTTTTAGTTTTGAAGAGGTCAATTTTACACTTGGGAAGTCTAGTTCCGGGTGCTCTTAGCCCCTCAAAGAAATATTGAGTGTAAATTTAACAAATAAAACCTTAAGAAGACAAATTTTAGCAGTTTTGAAAATTTTTGACATTAAGCTCAACATTATTGCATCTAACATTAAGCAAAGTGCAGTCTTCAAACTAAACTCATTTATAAAGTAAGAGTAGGGTTGGACTATCAATATTTTACACAAGAAGAGAAGGGCTAACTATCTTATCTGTTTCTTCTAGATACTGTAAGATTGTCTAAAACATTAAAAAAAAAATGGATTTCAGCTGTTTACTGGATAAATTGGTAGGGCTAGCAATTGTAGCCCCGCCTGTCAATGTAAAGATGGTGCTAATCAAGTGGTGAGGATGCCACCTTCTGGAACAGTAGATGGATGCATTGTCTTCCTCGGGAGGCTTCTCTGCAACATTGATAAACGTGGTTAGCTGAGCAGGACAAAAGGTCATACTTTCCATTACCTAGAGATGGGTAAGATCAGACAAGGAAGAAAAATCCTCTTCTTGGAACTTGGGTTGCACCTCTGACTTTCTTTACAAGTTATAATGGAAAGTCTTTGTTTGTAATAGAACACATGGAAGTTGTGATAGAGCAGCAAACCACGCTCAGGCAAAAAGCAAACCCCAGGGCCCTGATAACTTTGAATGCTCATTTGCTCACCAAATAGGTGTTGCACTGAGGCAGTAAATGAATGAACGTTTGTGGGTTGTCTGTGTTTCATGTTATGACGCAGTGATATGTGTTCCTTTTGCTTCCATCAGATAACTTTTACCTCAGTTCTGCCACTTAGTGTGTTAGACCACAACAAGAGGCAGGGAATGCTGAGGGAGGCAGGGGAATTTCTCTTAAAACTGATGTAAATTAAAAAAAAAAGAGAGATCCATATTCCCAGAAAGCCTATCTTATGTGTATCCTGCAGCTGAAATAAGAAACACTTTATTTCCACTTTGGACCTTAAGAAACAATCACTTTTTATTGTTATGTACTGTAAATTTAGCACCTTTTTTTTTCTTCTTTTTTTTTTTTTTTTGGTACTGGGGATTGAACTCGGGGGCACTCCACCAATGAGCCAAATCCTCAGCCCTATTTTTTATTTTATTTAGAGACAGGGTCTCTCTGAGTTGCTTAGCATCTAGATTTTTGCTGAGGCTGGATTTGAAATTTCAATCCTCCTGCCTCAGTCTCCAGAGTCACTGGGATTACAGGCATGGGCTACCATGCCCAGCTCAACACCATTTTTTTAAATTATTTTTTCATTTGTTCTTATTAGTTATACATGATAGTAGAATAACTTTCGACACATCATAAATGGAGTATAACTCCTTATTCTTCTGGTTATACATGATGTAGAGTTACTTAGGTTAGGTAATCAGGAAACAATGATTTGGTAGACCCGTGGAGGTCAGAGGTAGGGAATTAGCATGGTTGAGTACTGTCCAGAGTCTATGTTCTATGTAATTGTCAGCACCAATTTTTAAGAAGCAGACACATATTATACCCATGGCCATATTTTCTGTATTTGTTCCATTGGGAGACTTTTAATCCATACATTTTCCTCCTTCCCATCTCTTTTCACAATTCACTTGTCTAATAGTCTACTTTTTAGTTTATTGTTTTAAACGTAGGCCTGGATTCTAGTCATTTTGACAGTTCATTTATTAACATTCATACAATGTAATTCCTACCACTGTTGGAAAAAACATTGGAACATATTAATTCTATGTACTCACTATAAAGCATTAAAATACAGAGTTTAAACTTATTTAGCCTTAGGAACCATGAAGTAGGAACATAGATTGATTGGTACAATTTTATTGTATCAGATTTGGGAATAGGTGAATAATCAGGAAAACTATTTGGTATTTTGAAAATGACACTTATTCTCTATGAAGAGATTTCAAGAAATAATTTTGTAACCTCTTTAGTCACATCTTCCATTTCACAGAAAACAAGTCAGAAGCATTATGAAGGAAAGGCATAAACTCAGGAAGGGCCTATCCTGGGAAACATTGATAATTAAAATTCAGTATTTTGGACCCCAACATACCTCAGTATTCCATGACCTTGAGATCATCCTGGGAATTCCATGCTACCTCAGTTGGCACCATGAGGGTCTCTTATTGTGGCATGCCATCTGGAGCTGCTGTGTCCTTTGTACAGCTCTTCTGGGTCCATATTTTTTCTTTCTTATTCTTTAAAACTTTAATAGTTTTAATACCATTAAATTTACCTCATCAATGAGTTTTTAGTAAACGTACACAGTTGTGTAATCATAGCCACAATAAAATTTTAGACCAAATCCATCACCCTTTGTGTCTGTTTGAGGTCAACCCCTACTCTCAGCCTGGCCTAAGGTAGGAGAAGATCTGCTTTCTCTTTCTAGAGCTTTGCATTTTTGGAAAAAAGGTCATGTAAATGTGCAGTATTTTGTGTCAGAATATTTTTGAGGGTTTATCTATGATATTGCATATATCAGCAGTTTTTCCTTGTTATTGCTGAGTACTGTCCCATTGTATGAATGTATGGCATTTTTATTTATCCATTCACCAGCTGATGGACATTTGGATTATTTCTAGGACTTGACTCTAATGAATAATGCTTCTGTGTAAACAACTTTTTGTAATCATATATATTTTAATTTCTCTTTAAATAGATAAGTAGGAGTAAAAGTACATTTAATTTTTTAGAAATCCCCAAATAGTTTTCCAAAGTGACTGTATCATATTACATTTCTGCCAGCCATGTGAAAGTATTCCAGTTTCTCCACATCCCTGACAATTCTTGCTATTGTCAGTCTTTTTTATATTAACCATTCTTGTAGGTGTTCCTGCATCTGTGGCTTTGCTTTGCATTTTCTTTATGAATAATGATGAGAGCATCTTTTCATGTGCTTCCATTTGCATATCTTCTTTGGCAAGTATTTGTTGGAATCTTTCACTCCCTTTAACTTTTCTTCCCTTTTATTATATAAGCTG